TACATTATAAAACAGTATGCAATAATAACTTATTGAGTGTAAATTTTAATTTTAATTCAAATTATTAAATGGATGCCACCTTATTGGGACAAAAGCCCTCCCTACACCTAACCCTACCCGATACTTTATTTTCAATTTTTTTGATTATTTCCTTCATTTTTATTAAAAATAGCCTAAATGCTTTTCTGATGTGATTTGAAATTTGAAAAGGGAGAAAAAAAGTTCGCCAAAAGGCAGATTCGAACCTGGGTCGATCGCGTCAAAAGAAGTATGCCACACGCTTTACCATCTAAGCCACTGAATCTGACGATTGATGACCGTCTTTTGTAATGTTGACTAGCCCAATCACACGTTGGTGGGTGGAGTTAGTGCCGTTGGCCCAGAGGAAGCACCGACGAGACACGATCAAGCCCTGGAAGTGATAGTGGAAACGCGACTGGCCCTGTTTTGGCCCGACAGTGGAAACGCGGCTCATGATATCCGGCTAGGGATATGCCGGTATCAAATTCCCATGTTGCGATTAATTGCTAATGCTTTTATCACGGTATACGGTATTATCACGATGATATATCGCATTACCGAATACAGGCACAAATCTATATCCGTCCAAACTGAGTCAGCTCAATATGGACGCTCTCTTCTCTGAGTGTCAGTGTTTTTACTGGTGTACAACATAGAGCAAACATTTCGTCTTTCCAGATGGCCGTGCAGGGTTTTCTAAACAGTTATGTGTCAGTAAACAGGCTGTTTGAAAGACTGTGCCCAATTGAGATCTACTAGAAAAGGCTGCTATACCAACTCCATTCAGAGGCAGTGTTATTTTAGTATTATTTATATACTATTGTAGTATTGATTAATATTTTGAATGTTATTTTTAAATTTTCAGTTTTCATTTTATTTTATTTTAGTAACATTGTTATATGCTTTTGTAATTTCTCCTAGTTGTTTTTTTATATTTCTATTCAGCTTTAAATTTGATTTATTTCAGTTTATTTATTCAATGCAACATTTCTCATTTAAGTTTTTCATCTATTCATATTTTATTTTATTTCCGTTTATTTCCTTTTTTTCAGTTAACAAATATTATTTTTAATGTGTTCATTTTTTATTAACAATTATAACACTCCAGAGGTTCTGTGCTTATCTAGCAAGACATAATGACATTAATTTAACTACAGTTTTTCAGTATTAGCTGTTTTTAAAACCGAATAGCTCCTATATCAAGCTACGCTTTCAACAAGTAATGTCTCAATATGGTATATTGTTTTATTTTTTGTCAAGTGACATTAATTTGCACATGCAAAATAACAAAGTGAGCTCAAGCTATGTATATATTTGCCAACATTTGAAGTGGATCAAAAAAGTTCATCAAAGTTGTCCTAAAACAAGAACGCATTTTGGATTTAGGTTTTAGGACAACTTTGATGAAATGTTTTGATCCACTTCAAATGTTGACTAGTGTATATACAGTATATTGTCATGGTATTATTTTTTGTACTAATTCAAATGAATGATACATTGATTGAAAATATTGTTAACACTTTAGTATAGCATGCTTATTATTAACATATTGGCTGCTTATTAGTAGTTATAAAGCACATATTTTGCATGACCATATTCTACATCCCTAATAATACCTAAACTTAACAACTACCTTACTAACTATTAATAAGCTGCAAATTAGGAGCTTACTGAGGCAGAGGTCGTAGTTAATTGGTTGTTAATAATGAGAATTGGACCTTAAAATAAAGTGTGAACAAAATATTTAGATAATTCCTGCAGTTCGTACAACTCCATAAAATACATTTAGGATGTTTTCTAGTTAGTATCACAGTTTATGCAGTATTGACATCCTCACTTTTTTTGTGCCTAAATATACTGCTGATTTTCTTAGTAACTTAGTGTTTAACTTTTATTAAAAAGTGTATCTTGATTGTTAGTTTAACTATAAATTATGAGAAGAGCCAGTAGCTTCCCCAAAACACGCTTGTGTTTAACCTTATAAATCATGTGTCACGCCGAGCCATAAAGAGCAACCTTGAGAGCGCCAGGTCTCATCTGCAGGAACTGTAGCCTGGAATAATTATATATCTGAGGGTGATGACATTCTGCCGATGTGTCTGCGTGAGTAAACATAAACGCAGCCTTGATATATTCCATACTCCACATCAGTGTTAGGAAGAGTCACAGGCCTCTGAATAACAGCATGAAAATGCCAAAAGAAGAAGAATATGATTGTAAAAGGTCACGGGCAGCATTCATAAAGCAGACCTACTCGAGGCGTGCAAATTATACAGTGATGTTTACCGCGGTATCCCCTGAGGGAGCCTTGTTGTCCATGCAAAGAGATCCATTTAAAGTAAAGAGGGCTAATGGAATTTTCATTGTTCTTGCAATGTGTTTAGAGACTGTAATTTGCTATAAACAATGAATAAACATAAATAAGAATTAGACACTTTGTACAAAATGCAAATCGCTGGGCCAGACTAAACATGGAAGCCTGATCATAAAACCAAGAATACGTATGGTCATATTTCGTCTTAAAAAACTAATTAATACTGTATATGTGTAGTCTTTCATTTGGATTATTATAATCATTTAAAGTTTTTTTTTATATTTTTGCAAGAAGTCTCTTATATGCTCAACAAGGTTGCATTTATTTGATCAAAAATACAGTAAAATCAGTAATATTGTGAAATATTATTGCAAAATGAAAATAATGGTTTTCTGTTTTATTTGAAAATATAACTATAACCATTTTTTCAGGATTCTTTGATTTATAGAAAGTTCAAAAGAACAATTAATTTGAAGTAGAATTTTGTCTGACTTTATAAAAGCATTTAGTTTATTTAATTATAAATGATTTAAAGTTTTAAAAGTATTGTATTGTATTATAAATAAAAAGTATTAATTCCTTATTTTTTCTAAGAATAAAAAAGGTTGATTTTAAGACCATTAAGAAATTTTTTGCATTGTAGTATTCAGACAATCCAGCACAGTTTACCATAAAATTCCTCATGAATTTCTCACACAAACAAACAAACAAAAAATAAGTAAATAAATACAGTTATGTATTCAATCTATTTATAATTTTAAAAAAAACTACATTTATAAATTAATAAATAAAATGATCTAGTATTTGTTGTACTACCTTTAATTTATGATGATTTATTTGAATGATTTATTTATTTTTGTTTGTCTCACTGCAAATCTTCTTTCAATATTTCAATAGGTTACTTTGTATTAATGCATAACAATTTATAATAAACCATTTTTCCTTTAGACATGTTTTTGTGAGATTCACTCATAGTTGCATGTTATTTCATTATTTAATGCCACACTCTAAAAAATGCTGGGTTCAAAACAACCCAATAGCTGGGTTTGTCCCTTTTTAACCCAGCGCTGGGTTATATTTAACCCAGCATTTTTTAGAGTGCAGTAGCTAATTCAACGATTAGCCATGGCATGAGTCATATGCTGTGACTGGCATTTATTAACATTTGTTTAAACATGACACTCTCTCTTGTAGTAAGGTGAGGGGTTGTATCGACATACATTAGTTTCATTAGAAAAAGATTAATTGTAAGGTGCTTGAGAGGCAAAAGCAATTCAGTATCATTGCACATGGACTGAACAAACCTAACATATGCTGTTATGTCATGCTAAATTTGCGCATTCAACTGATACGCAATATAATGGGACATAAACTACACTCTTGTGATAATTACAGTCTATTTTCCTATTTTACTGCACTGAATATTGCTCTATTATGTCTTTAGATCCATTTGCACTGAAGAGTCAGTGATTCAGAGACCTTCCAATAAACGTACACAGATAGCTAATAAATCTTTACTGTTGTGGTGTGAAGATCATTTCGGTTGAGCAGCTCATTAAAAGATGGTTTACTAAGTAAACTGTAAAAAAAAACGAGTCTCTGTCAGTGCAGGACTTGAGAGTTTTTTTTTTTATTAATTAATTTTTTTGATGGAGAACAAGCAAGAAAGCAGAACACAATTAGAAACAAAGGAGTCCATTTAAATAGTCGCTCTACTACATTGGGTGCTTTATGGAAATGAGGCTTCATTCCCGCTTTGTACATTTGTTAACTTGCTGTTGCCTGAGGCTGTAGACATCAGCGCGCACACACACACGCGCACACACACACTCTCAAACACACACACACTCTCAAACACACACACACTCTCTCTCTCTCTCTCTCTCTCAAACACACACACATGAAAGAAGGAAGACATATCTGGCTGCTATTTAGTACCCCGCACACGGAGCCGACTGCTGCAGCTTGCATTGATCTTCTCCAGAACAACAGTGGAAAAAAAAACACTTCTTCCATCAGTCGCTGTGTGCAAACTGAAGCTGTGAACTCAAATGACTGGCATATGGAATCTGATCCAGGATCTGTGTTTGAAAGCACCGCTTTCTATGTTAAACTCGACCAAATTCCACTGCTATAAGCCATGTGTTCTCATTTTAAAGGAATAGTTCACCAATAGTTCACAGATACTCTATACTGTATCTGTATCTATATCTGTACTCTCGCTATAGACGGGTTTGTTTCTTCATCAGAACAGATTTTGAGAAATGTAGCATTGCATCACTTGCTCACCAGTGGATCCTCTGCAGTGAATGGGTGCCGTCAGAATGAGCGTCCAAACAGCTGATAAAAACATTACAGTAATCCACAAGTAATCCACACCACTCCAGTCTATGTTAGCTGCAAGCAACTTTTTGAAGGTAAAAACATCTCACATAAACTATTTCTGGGTGAAGTGTTAGCTGTTGTTATTTTTATGTGGCACTGTCATTGTAGACAAAATCTGATTGGACCAAAACCCGCATACACCACTGCAAGATGTTCTCATCAATATTTTTAGTCTGTTTACCTGGAAGAAAAAGAGTGTATATTTTAAATGTGTATTTTTCCAAGATAATAATTATGTTTTGTCACTTTTAGTAAAGCTCAAGTTAACAGACATGGACTGCATGCTACAAATTTCATGACTTTGTTACAAGATCGGCAGAATAACTGGATATTAGGTTGTGAGGTAAGCTCTGGGTTAGTTTTTTTAGAAATCTGATGATTTAAATATATTAAAGGGGTCATATGATGCTTTTTTAAAGATCATTATTTTGTGTATTTGGTGTAACAGAATATGTTGACATGCTTTAATGTTCAAAAAACACATTATTTTTCAAATACTGTACATTATTGTAGGTCCTCTATGCCCCGGATTTGAGACTTTAGTTTTTGCAACTTTACAGATCTTCTTTATGCACCAAGAGCTTGTAACACTCCAAAGAGAAAGAAAAAATTTAAATCGCATCATATGACCCCTTTAAGTGATCCATTCAGACATTCAGATCAGGTTAAACATCAGGTTATGCTGTAATAAGTGTGCATTGATTCTTTACTTGTGCTTCAATAGTTCTGTTGCATAACTATGCATTTGCATACAGTAATGAGATCTGCAAATGTCTCCGTGCATTCATAATTGTAACGCAATTAGTTGGACTGACTTAAAATGTCCACCCTGTTATGGACAAATAAACTGTATAAATCAAGAGCGTATACTCTTATTGTAGTGTTAACTTGAAAGTTTAAGTGATTATTCATGAAATATGTGTTTATTTCTTACAAATCTAACTAAAGATAAAGGTAACGTTCAGTCAAAGCTTTTGTTTTTGAAGGACACACTTAACCCACTTTCAATTAATTAACAAAACAAAAATATTCTTCATAATCCTTTAAAATATAAAATTTATATTGGTATTATTTATTATTGATATTATATTTATATACGAAAAATATATTGATATTTAGAAAATAAAATTTAAAAATGTATTTCAAGTTAAATTGTTAAATGATATAAGCTATAACCAAAAGCTATTGTCATTATGTACACATTTATCTCAATAATTGTGAGATTGTAAGAGTTTTTTTTTTTTTTTTTAC